TCAATGCCTGGCGCTGTGTTGGGAGAATCCCCCTCCTCCCATCTCTTCCCACCCAGGACAATAAATCAGACCTGGCAGCAGGTCCCTGAGAGCAGAGCCCTCTGCAGGGTATATGACTTTCTGTCCGCTCCTCTGTCCCTTACGGGGGGTATTTTCTTTAAGAATACCAGAGAGATTTTTTTTTTTAAACCTAAGTCAGTAAGAATAACACATGGCTGTGCTAAAAACTCCTCTTCCCCGAAAGAATCCAAGTGCCAGCGGGATCTTCAGCATCTCAGGCCAGAGTTTGACTTAACTGTCCCCCGAAGGGCCTGTTTTCCTTGATGAAGCCTTGGAGAATGCTCACGGAGCTGCTCCCCCAGACAACCAGTGACAGTGGGCTGTCACTGTGGATTAGCTTGTATTCCCTAGGATTTCTCGTAAATGACAATCATAGAATATGTACCCTTTGTAAAATGGGTCTTCTTTCACTCAGCCTCCTTATTATGAAATTCATTCATGCTGCCGCATGTATCGATAGCCGGTTTCTTTTTATTGCAGAGTAGTGTCCCATTATAATGGATAGACCACACAGTGTGCTTATCCATTCGCCAGCGGATGGATAGCTGGGTTGTTTCCAGCTTTTTGCTGTAGCCAATGAAGCTGCTATGAGCGTTCATAAGTGAGTCTCTGTATGGACCTGTGCTTTCGCTGCACATTCCAGACACAAATCTTTTGTTGGACATTTGTTTTGCAAATATTTTCTCCCACTCTGACTTGTCTTTTTATTTTCCTAGCAGTGTCTTTTTAAAATCAAAGTTTTTAATTTTGATGGAATCCAATTTGTTGACTTTCTCTTTATCTTGGCATTAATAGTTCATGTTTTTTTGATCTTATTTAAGAAATCTTTGTCAAATCCAAGGTTACTACCCTTGTTTTCTCCTAAAAGTTTTACAGTCTTGGCTCTTATATTTAAGTCTATGATCCATTTCAAGTTGTTGTTTTTTTGTTATAGTGTGTCACACAATCATGAAAATTTATGAATATGTGTATACACACACAAGATATATATAAAGTCTATAGACTTATAAAAATACTCATTTACAAACACTGACCAAAGAGCCCAGTACAAATTTTTATATACAGTATGGGTGCCACTTGATAATCAAGTCTTGACAAAAACAAACCAATGAACAAAACCTGTGTCTAGAAGAATGGAAGGAAATACGTGCGATGTTTTATTTCCTGCTTTAAGATGATATGACCATTGCCTATTTCTGGTTTCTTTTCACTCTTCTATGTTTTATGTAATAAGCATCATCTATTGCTATAAAAACTAAGTTGCGATGCTGTAAAACAGCCATTTGCGAGACGGCTCCCTGATTCCACACCACCCTCACGATGCTGTCCGCCCAGGAGCAGCCCCCCTGGAGAACCAGAAAGGCGAGCACACTGCTAGGACGGGCTTAAGAGCAGAAAGAGATGAATTAAAGAATTTCCAGAGAAAATTCTCCGAAGAAAATGCGAGGTTAGCTGAAGCCTCTAGAAAAAACCAAATACAAACCTAAACACTCCCCAATAAAGAAAAGAATTCCAGCCGTGGGGAGGGCCGGCTGCCCTGCGCGCCCCACCCCTGAGATTGCTTGCCCCGAATGCTGCAGACACAGACTCGACGCACTCAATCTCTGCAAGCGAGGGAAGCTAATGAGATCCTCCCGCCAGCGTGCTCACTGTCCTTCTATCTCGGTCTGCTCACAGAGGCAGCCCGAGTCCGCAGCCTCATAATCAGCCCGAGGCTGGCCCCGCCGCCTCTCCATGTGTGCGCCCTCCTGCCCGTCTGGCAAGTGGGATTTGCCTCTCGAGCTGCTGCAGAGGCCAGATTGGCTGATGGAATTGCCTACAGATGTTTCACAGAGAAAAAGATTACTTCCCTGATTGATGAATATAAAGAGTTGTCAACATGGTCTCCCTGGTCAGAGGGGACCCCTGAAGTATAATGTGGAAAGACAGCTGTTGCATCTGGGAAGGTGTCCAAGACCCTAAGAAGAGGCACGCATTTGGCTGACGTGGCGGGCCGAGCAGCTCAGGCTCTGAGAGGGCGAGGCGGGGGGCTGGACCCACGACCACAGCCAATTCTGTCGCAGGGCCTCCCATATCGTAAGAAGGCAGTGGCGTGTCTCCTCAACTGGCCTCTTCTTTGGGCTGTGTTTCCAATGAGCAAACACACACTGTTATCAGAAATGTACTCATCTTCTTAGTCCTTAGCTGTGAATCAGAAAAGAGGCAGCAGAAATGGCACCAGAGTCCCCACGGTAAACCTCCCAGGCTTCCCGGGGAGGGACTGCAACATGGTGAACAATCAGACAGGGAAGAGGGCAAGGCCCCTGGAGTGAGCTCGTCTCTTCAGGAGCACGCAGCTTCGGGGCTTTCTGGCTGACCCTCTCGAATGAATCAGACAATACCAATGGCTATTATCATAACTGTTTTAGTAACTGGAAGACAGCTGTCATTATGTGAGCCAATTTATGTACTTTATATTCCTTTATTTTATTGAACTCTCCCACAAACACACACACAAAATACCATACGCAAAGATTATTAAATTTTACTACCCATATATCCTCTCTGCAAGAATTACTAGCAGACATATTCCAGCAAATAGAAAAGAGGAATGGGATAGATACTTTCAGGAAACCCATTTTACAGGCAAGGAAGCACAGATTCAGAAAAGCAAAGTAAATCAGCCACGGCCACATGGCCTGGAAGCACCCAGCCCCGGAATGGGGCCCAGAAGTGGTCTCACTCCCCAACGCATGCTTCAGCCACTGCGAGGCTGTGGTCACCAGGAGACATGGGAGGGGAGGATTACACTTTCAATGTGAGAAAAAATGTGCTGGTGCTTCCAACGCAGAAACACGGCGTGCCCAGAAAAACAGTATTTACACCTGGATACGCCTGAATGCCAATGACACTGCTGCCTCTGTCTCAAACAGATTTGAGCTTCAAACTAAAAATCTCTTATCTGGCATTTCCAGAAAGGGCTGTATTTCAGGAGTAAACAGACCATGGACTCTCCACATCACACACACACACAAATAAAAATAACCAGATGGCCGAACAACCCAGAGCGCCATCTCGAAGGGCGGGTGGGGGCTGGCAGCAAAGGAGGCCAATCTTTCCTCCTCCAGAGGAGAAGATCAAGCACGGCGGGGAAGTGAGGGTGGTTTCCTCCAAGCAGGGACGCCTTGAAGGGGGCTTTAATATCAAAAAATCATTTTACATCCCATTCTACAGTGAAGGGTGGGACCAGAGTCTCTTGTTTACCTCCAGCCTCAGCGTCTGACACCCTAGGTACTCAATGCCTTTCTGCTGAGGAACGACAGCTGGGCAGATAGACAAGGACATGTCGAATGAAGGGGCCAGCACATGGTAGTGATGAAAACCACACGTGTCGCAGCTAGACAGCCCTGGGCGTGAACCACGGCTGCCACAAATCACTAATGCTGCTCTCCACCTCAGTTCTCTCATTTTTAGAGTAGAGAAAAAAAATAAACACCAACTTGGCAAAATGGCTGAGAGGCTTCACGGATGTGGGTGCTGAGCTCAATGCCAGGCATATGCTAGGGTTTTGGGGGTGACAGCGATCCTTACTTCCGGGAAGAACACTTTCATCTGGAGCAGCAGCGAAGCAGGTTAGACCGCCTCGCACCATGGCCTCCCAGAGACAAAGGCCCCATCCTAGGCGAGCGCCGAGGTCAGGGCTCTGCTCCAGGTGCGGTGCGTGCGGTGCGTGCAGTGGCCGCGGGCTGCTCTGTGCTGCCACAGCTGCTGGACCAGGCTCTCAGAGCCAGGACCCACAGGCACTGTCAGAGGCCACCAGGCAGGGGACTAAGGGACATTAAAACATACTCCAAGACGGGCAGTCAAAAGGACCGCACTGCTGAGACCTCAAGAACTAAGGGATGAGACAGGACACAACTCTATGGTTCTAGGGCTGAATTGGAACTGAGAAGCCAAAGTTGTAGGGAGGGAGACGTCAGTGGGACTCAAGAAAGGCTGCTTTCCTTGCCTGAGGCCGCGGCGCAGTGGTGGTGCACGGCAGAGGAAGCTGCTGAACCCAGCCCCGGTGTTGTTGCCCTGGCGCCCCATCGTAGCACCTCTCTGCTGCCTGGGCCGGGGGAGGACAGGCAGCACAGACACTGCAGTCGCCTTTCCCCCACCCCCACCTCCACCCCCCAGCCCACCCCATTCTAAAAGAAAGCCCGCCTTTTGTGTTTCCGTGTCTGCTTTCTTGCTTGAGTGTTTCTGCAGGACTGAAGGCAGAAGTTGCCTCAAATCAAAGGCTCCTTCTGTCATTTGTAAAAGCCTAAGGCCACTGGCTGGATACTGCTGGGAGTGGGTGGGGGAAAGAGGCAAAGGCTTTAAGGACCCTGAAGAAGCACGGGGCCACCGCCCCTGCGCTGGGGGAGGGAGAATATCGGATGCTGCCCCCGGGGGAAAGAGCGAGACTCATTCTCAGAAGAAATGGTGGCGGGCTGGTCCTGGGGCGGCAGGACCCCAGCCCGCGCACCCGCCAGGCAGAGAGGCCCACATCCTACATGGGCACGGACGGTCGCGGGGCCTCAACAGACCCCAAAGGGTTACAGGGGCGGGGGGCAGGGGGGAGTCTGATGCAACCAGGAGACTAAGGGTTCCGTCCCTGTCTTCCTGGCTACAAGCCTCCTGGACCCTGGGGTCGTTCTGGGAGGCGGGACTGTGCCAATAATGACCAAGAGAGGATTCTGTTCCTCTGCTCAGAGGAGGGCTCTGAGCCAAACAAAGCTGATTGAAAGGAAATAAAGATATTGACATTCTTTGCAAATCTGCGTCTGAGAACCACAGCAGGAGTGCAGAAACCAAACACCACAGAAACTGGGACCCCAGCGCCTGCTCTGCCTCTGCCTGTGCCCCCCACCCCGCAGAGCTGCGGTCGCCCCCCGACGCACCAGCCGGAGACCGCCGCCCCCGGCCCCCCGCCTTACCTGGGGAGCAGGTGCTTGCGGCTGACGCACAGGGCGGTCTGGTAGTCCTGCGTCACACACACCTTGTGAGGGCTGCACTTCACCTTCAGGCAGGGGTCTTTGGATGGGTCCAGGGCTGAGGCAAAGAAGAACAAAAATAGAGCGGTCAGGACCTCAGGGAAAATTTAATTTCTATTTCTACTCAGATAGGTAAGTGGAAAGAAAACAGACCATGTGTTTGCACTCTGCGCTGTTTTTGCAGGCGGGAGGATACTGGAATGAAACAACCCACGCCAGGGGGAATTCTGTGTCTACCATACATGTTTTTCTTCACATCAGGGCAGTGATTCCTTTGTGCCATGGGGAGTTGCAGCATCTTCATCTTTGGCAGGAATTACTTTTAAAACCCTCTAGAATCTTACATGCTCCAAGGGCCGAGAGCTACTTTTTCCTCTTTGGCTATTTATCTGCTGTTGCTCTTTATAACTTCACCCATGCCTAATTTTACCTATTTCTTATAACATAAAGTCCTTGAGGACAGAGGATTTTTTGTTGCTGTTGCTTCAATTCAGCCCACATGGACAAAGTACATAAATAAGCCTAATTTAAGTTTTGTGAAGACCCACAGATGCATGAAAAGTTTTGTGCCGCACCAAGTTACAACACAACAGGGAGGGGGAAGCTTACCCATAAATATTTATGGTGCACGGGAGAATGAGATAGCGGCCATGACGCGCGTGTAAAGTAGTGACGAGCCGTGGAGAAAAGGAGAGATCAATTTCTGGGGCAAGGATTAATGAAGCATTAATATGTGAATTGGATTGTGAAGGATGGGCAGCATTTTGAAAAGCCAAGAGAGAAAAGGCGCCCCGGGCCTGGCGGCCAGCACAGGCCAGTGAAGGGAGGCACGTGGGGGCAACTGTAAGCTCCTCCGTCTGACTACCGGGTCTGCTTTGTGCGTCGGAATAACGGGGTGGGGGGGAGCTGGGTCAACCGAGCCACTGGAGGAAGGGTCTCCAAGGACAGCAGTTTCTATGCGGCAACGTTTCCTGGAACGGGCAGGGCAACAGGCCCTGAGCCCTTCCACACTCGCACGCTGGGGTGGCCAGGCTCCGCAAGGCTGCGAAACGAGGCGGGGGAGTCTCTGCAAAACCAAAGCAACTGTGCCACCGTCCCAGCTCAAGGGCCTCAAGCCCAGGAGGCTATAGATCTTCCAAAACTGCTCCCCACGACGGCCAGGGAGGAGATGTTCTCCCCTGTCCTCCCCATGCAAACAACTGGTTAAACCAATCGGCATCCAGGGCAGAGACAGTGAAACTGCGGGGAGAAATGCCACACTGCCCGCCCCTGGGGGGCCCTCACCATGGAGACTCCCCTGCACTTAGACGGTCGTCATTCCTCTGAGCCTGCCCAGGCCCAGAATCTCAACTCTGTTTTCTTCAGATGGCTGCTGGGAATGCCCCAGGGGACCTGAGCACAAACATCCAAAAGCATCCCTGCCGCTTGCCCAGCTCGGGGCGGGGGGGGGGGGGGGCGGGGAGGGGCGGGGGGCCCTCTGCTGCAGCAGCTTCAGCGCTGTAAACAGAAACCAGGTGCCTCTTGGGCCAGTCAGGCCTGCAAGGAGGCCAGGTCCTGGTCGGTCCCGGGGGAGCCTCCTTCTTGAGGAGTCTGCTGGAGCTTAGCAGAAGGAAATGGATTGCAAGATAAAAGAGAGGCTGATTTGAGTCCTGGGGACACCAGGCCCACTCTGAGCTCTTGAGCTGAGGGCTGCCTCTCCCATGCAGGATCGGCCCTCAGAGTCCTCTGAGGCTGCACCTTTCAGATACCTGCCCGAGGAACTCCCTGGTCCCAGGTGGGACTCTCTTGGTCCTGGGGACTTCCACACAAGAAGCCAAGAGGCTCGTGTGTCTCAGGCCAGTGACCTTCTTCTTCTTGTACACTGTCCCCCACCCCAACCCAGGTGGCAGTCCAACCAACTTTGATTTATTTTCCAAGACTCGTGCAAATTTGAGCCAACAATGAAGCCTATTACCAGATGACAACTAATAATGGCCATGCTGGTCCTCCGCTGCCCCTTCTCACACTTTCTACCACCACAGGATGAAGTAAGACACTCACAGATCTCAGGAAACTTGGGCCCAGATCATCAGCCGCCCCGGCCCCAGGTGTCAGCTGGGGCGCCTCCCAGTAGGTGCCGCAGAACCCCTAGGATTTTCCCCGGAGCAGAGCTCAGACATGGAGCCCAGCGGGCTGGCCTGGAGTGCTGGGCGCTGAAATCTGCACGACTACACAACAAGCTTCATGGCCAAATTCGAGCTTCCTCTTGCTTCTGTAGCCGACTTCACAAACACACAGCGTCCACACTGTGACCTGGGCGGCCTCCGTGGACGGCGCGGTCCCGCAGCAAGGCAGTCAGCCAAGCAGGGCAGGGAGGAGCCCAGGGTTTCCGGGTTGGAACGCTGGCTCTGCTGCTTGCCAACCTTTCCGTACCTCGGCTGCCGCCTCTGTTAAATGGGGTAGTAACAGTGCCTAGTGTTGCTTCTTGTTGTCAGGAGGATTAGGTGAGTTAACACTCATAAGTGCTTAAAACAGATTTCTTACGTGTTTGTTATTTGTGTGTGTGTGTGTGTGTGTGTGTGTGTGTCTGTATTTTGTTCCCAGAGTGAATAATAAGCCTTTGTAATAACATGAATCGCTAACACCCTGTGCTTTTGACTCTCAGGCAGTGCACTAAGCCCTCTGATGGGATTACCATATCCAATTCTCACAACGCCCAAGGAGGCAGCTGGTGTCAACGTGCCCATTTGACAAATAACGGTCTTAAAGAGAAGTCCCTGGTGAGAGGTGCAGAGGGCAGTGGGCACCTGCCGGGTGGCTCCAGAACCCAGCCTCCTTAGCACGCAGCCAGCGGCTGAGACTCAGCCAGGACATCTTCTTAAAGGCGGACAGCAGGTCCACCTCACAGCAGAGCCCAGCTGCACAGTGCCCCTCTGAGGCCTTCGGGGCAGAGTGGGTCTTACCAGGTTCAAGTAAGGGGCAGCTGGGGGGCGCCTGGCGCCGCTGCGGGCAAGTGGACCCTCTGCCTGCTCCCTCTGACTGTCCCCTCCACTGAGTCAGCCGGGCCAGGGTTCAGTTGATGTTCTCCCTGCAAACGTGCCGTCTACCACCCGACCCTGAGGCTAACGCAGCAGACGGCTCCTCTTCCGACGCCTGCAGCTAACATTACTGAAACAAACACATACAACACTCCAACCAAGAACACTAACAAATAAAAATCATCAGTTATTTAACTCCCTATGCCTACTTCCTTAACAATTTGCATATAAAAATCAAGTCGGCTAAAAATTAATTACTGGGAACTGAGTACTTCAAACATGTATGCGAATTATTTAAATGAACTTCACAGAACAACAAAACAGTAACAAATCAAGCTGTCAGCATTTATTTAATCACCGGGATTCCTCTCGTTTTTGAAAAACAGCAACATTGGAATTAAAAGGGGATGTGGATGGTAAGAGGAGTGTGTTTCCATTTAAATGCGGCCTCTCAAAAAGCCTTTTCCTAGCAGCCCCAAGGCTCAGGTGACACTCCTGAAAGGGGACACTTTTGAAAGGCATCCAGCACCTGTTTTGGACAGGGTCACGCGGCTCCACTTTCTAAAAGGAATTATAAGACATCAGAATAGTAAGTGGCATTTAAGAGGTTCTGTAATAAGGCGCAGGGGACCCACGCAGGGGAGCGGGGAGGGGCGAGCCAGCCCTGAGCACCAGCAATAACTCTGACCAGGGTCAGAAGCTCCTCGTCCCGGGGCTAATGATTTCTGGAGACCGCGCTCCAAGTTTTTCTCCCCAGGCACATGCCTGGTGTTAGGGTGCGGCCATCCCCATAAGAGGGCCAAGCCCTGTGTCCCCTACACGTCTTCTGCCTCCACACCTGCGGGATAATGTGCCTAGCACTGAGCAGATACCCACAGGAGGTTAATTTCATCTTTCCTGTCATGCACAAAAAGAAAAAAAAAAGTGTTAACCAGCACATAATTTATGTCCAATTAATTTTTCACTAATTTTTACAAAAACTTTTTCAAAAAAGAAAAAAAACCAAGAACGAATTAAAGAGTGATTTGTTGAGCTGGAAAGCATCAACCTCAAAATCCTATTAATTACAGGTTACATGTAATTTTTTTAAATTAATTTTATTTTTTAAGCTCACTGCTTGATCTCAATTAAGGTAGTGATATTTCAATTATCTTAATTGTTTCCAAGCTTATTTTCAGTTCGATTCATTTTTTAATTAGCTACCGTGCTTTTAAAATCGGCATCAAGTCTTTCTCTCTCCGTCCTTGGGCACAGCGAAATGTTCACAGGAAAAGGTCACGGCAGCGGCCACGGCAGGGCGCGGCACCACCTCAGAGACTCTGAGACGAGAGGGTGTTCCATTCTGTGGGGTGCTCAAAGGGTCCCTGAGAGTCCCCTGGGGGAGTGACACACGCTTGTGTTCATCCCTTAATACCTGCAGGGCATCCGTCGTGCGCAGGCCGGTGCTTGCAGGCTGGAGGCCAGCGCCTCTGGAGCGACCGAGATGTCGCTCCTGCCCACCGGGGGCCCGCAGCGCCACAGAGGAGCCGGGCAATGGGAGGGTAAGCTCTGGGTGTTACGTGGGGCAAGGGAGCCACCTCACCCATCTTCCCAGGGGCCGGGTTCCTGGAGAGACTGATATCTATGGAAAAATGGGTTTAAGCTACAGAATAGATTGAGGAAGAACCTTCCAGATAAAAAGAGGCTCCCTTTACATACGTGAGAGAAATCAGGGCAAATTTGAGAAGGGCAGCGTTTCATCGTGCTGGAGCAGGTGGGGAGTGAGGAGGAGACGGGAGAGGGGGCAGGCAGCATCGTGGAGGGCCCTGCAAACCAAGGGAGGACTCGGGGGCTGCGGCTGCCACGTTCCATCGTGACAACAAACTGGGTAGAGGTGGAAAGGGGGTCTTTGGCACACCGTTTTATGCTGGTGTCTGCGGGCCTCTGCTCCGTGGTACAAGGGGGAGGAAGAGAGAGCCCTTTATACACATTTTATGTGGAAAGTGGCACTTTGATTAAGAATGGACATGCTGTATACCCTCACCCTCCAAGTGAGAGGGGA